CAAATCTTGACTCAGTTTTATTTTAACTACGAATATGAAGATGGAAAGAAACCAGATGTTTCCATAAAGAGGGGAAAATGCAGCAGAGTTTGAAGGGGAAAAAAAAAGCACCTACGTTTTCTACAGCAACAGCTAAAAAGAGATAAGCAATTTTGGATCGAGCTAATAATTCCAGAGTCTGGATCTTTCAGAAGAAGATAAAAAGGAGGCCTCTGCTCGTTATTTTCCTTTGCCTCCTTTAACTCATAGTGTACATGGCGTCTATTGCAGGGAAAGCAAGTGGGGTAATAATGACATGCAAAGCAACAGAGAAAACTATCACATCCAAGATATTTTTGTCCCCATCCTCAAGTCCTTTCATTTCTGTCAAACTCCTTCACTCCAACTCACTTTCCAGGCTGCATCCCAATTACAACGTGTCCCCACAACAAGTCACAGCCTGTTTTCCGCAGGAAACATGACCCACACCTCATTTCAAGGGCAAAGCCAGCAAGCAATTTGGAGATTGTCCTGGGAGCCTCAGAAAACGAAGACCTTTATCCTGCAGCCTCAGTGTCGGTTACAGTCGCTATCTGTTCCACTGTCTGCATCTGTGCCCAGGTACACATGAGACTGAAGCCTTTCTGCATTATCTGATCATTGGATATAATTACAGACTCCGTCCTTGTTAGCTGCCACCCTCTGCCCTAATCCAGGTGCTCTGACTCATGATCCATTAGAGTTACATCAAACCTGGAATTCTTGCCAGGATTACAGTCTACTATCCTGCAAGGTGCTGTATATTTATAGGCAACCAAAGCAGGAGAAAAGTATACGCCAAAATGGGAGATTTGGGAACTAAAGCTTTCAGTAATCCTCACCAAAATCCTCCAAAATAACTGGACAATTTACAATGGGAAATTCACCATAATAAAGCACATAACCTCTGACCCAAAGCCAGAGTCCTCTGGGGCTACAACAAAATTCTCTGCAATAAGAAATCATGGACAAATATCCATAGGTGCATTATAATGAGCTTCATCATCTCAGTGGCTACGAACACATTTGATCTTCCTACTTTAAACCCTGTTCATTTCCACGTGAAACATGCTCCCCTGCTGAGATGACCCATACCATCAGTGGGGAAAAAATCTCCCACTGCCCATCAACGGCACAGAGTCTCCAAGACAGACATACCATTTCTTCCCTTCATCCTCCAACCTAGAAAAGTGCAAACAAGTGTGGGGCATCTCACAAACCATGAGGGAGATCTTGTATATCCACAGGGGAACTGGGCCTGGGCACAGAAGGGTTAGAGCGGGTAAGCATATGGCACAGTAACCACGGGATGACAGAGAAGCCAATTCCCTGAGAAAAAGAGAACTCTTTTATTAGATGAGCAAGAAAGAAAAGGAGGAATCATATAAAATGTAATATCACATTTTAAATCAGATTAGCATTTTCAAAAAGGTTATGGTATCCACTGCAGGAGAGAGTGCCATAAGAAAATAAAATTATCCTCCTATGCAGATGTAGCTTCCAAGAAAAATGAAACACATTCAGAGTGGGCTGTTGACTTGCCACCATCTTTCATGCCAAATCTGGGTTATCTTAGGCATTTCTTCCCATAAGAACTAGATCTTGTCTATTAATAACTGGATAAGGTTACCCCCAAGTCCACCCAAGCCAGAGGGTCCTACGAGTATAAATTAAATTAATTCCTTTTATTTAACTAATCTTTTCAGGCCAATCTGATTAAAGACCAGTAATATGCAGCATTGAGACCACTAACAGAGCACACAGAAGTGCACGTTTTCCTCCTAGCCCTACAGTGACTCTCTGCAGCCAATAAACGATAGATCTCAAGAGGCATAGTGCACAAATAATCAAAATCCTCAAGCATGTCGCATGTTCATATGTCAATTCAAAGCAGGTCTTGACATGTTTTCTGAACAGCCTTCCTTTTTTCCAAAAATCTGGCCCTTAAAAGAGCAGAGAAGTACTTCACAAACTTTAATGTGCATACTAATCACCTGGGGATCTTATTAAAATGCAGATCTAATTCAGTAAGTCTGAAGTGAGGCTCAGGATTCTGAATTTTTAACAAGCCCCCAGGTGATGCAGATGTTGCTCCTAGCTCTCTTTGAGAGGCAAAAATTTAAAAGACTTAGCTCACCTAGAACTAAGCACCCCCCCCCCAGATATTCTGAAATTTCTGAAGGACTCCATTAACAATAAATAACAGGTAGTGTTTACTGGGTAATTAGGCAATGTTGTATGAACTTGACATATATTAACTCATTTAATTCTCCCAGGAACTCATTATCATCATCCTCACTTTACAGATAAGGAAACCGAGTCACAGAATACTGAAGTAACTTTTCAAGGTCACAGACCTGGTGAAGGAACTGGGATTTGAAACTGGACTGGTAACCTCTACTCACACTGACTCCCAGTAAGAAACAGCAAGATATTTCAGGAAGCTGGATGTTTAGAAAGGGAGGGAAATTACTAGAAACTTAGATGCAGTATTGAAGAAAACGCAGAACCCACAGAAGCGCAATGTTTCCAAATGGTCATCACCAGGGAAATATATTAGTCAATTACGTTGTACAGCCAGGAGGAAAAACCAAACCTGGTGTATTTTAAATTTTCCAACTGGGCTCCTCTACACACCTTAGCAGATGTTCTTTGAACACTGTTACAGCAGCCTACACGCTGTAGAACCACTGCAAAACTTGCAACTATGGGGACAGGAGAGACCACTGGGACGGGGCTCACGGCCAAGGCACTGAGCACATGCTGAAATCACCTTCCTAGTCTTTCCTTTGACTCTTTGGTCCATCCTGGCCAAAGACAAGGAAAGGGCGGAGTAAAACCCACAGTCGCACCTTGCGCTCGCAGCGCCTGGTGGAAAGGCGGTGTCTTTGCAGCAGAAGAGAAAACGTGAATATGGGCGACCGCGTGGTGTAGGTAAGGTGCATTTCCAGCCCCTGAGCCTGGGCCAAACCGGAAGTACCCAAGGTGCTGAAATCAGGTGATCGTGCAGCCCTGGGGGCCTGGAGAGTTTCGATGGCGCTGTCCGAGGTGCCAACGATGTCTGCTGGCACACTTTGCCACCCGCGGGCGGCTGGGGGGGTTTATCCACCGCAAGGAAACCGGACGGCGCCTGAGTAAACACGCCCCTAAGAGAGGGGCACAGTAGAGCAGCACCGGGAGGGTGGCAAATGTTAGAGAATTGTGGAAAGCGGGCGGGGTGGGGGGCCCTGCTGGGGAAATCAGCAGAGACCTGACTAGAGGAGTGTTTGCAGCCGCAGCACGCAACACAATGAGATCTGTCTGCTTTGTGCAGCGCATCGGCAGGCGGGACTGCAGAGACTGGACCCTTCCCCCTCCCCAATACCCCCACCCTAGATACGTTTAACTCAGGCACAGTATGGCCCCGGATCACTCTGTGGGGGTGGGAGGGGGAGGGGAGCGCAAGGAGGAGGAGAGAGGAAGCCCAGCCAGCGGTGGCTGTGGGAGGATGCGAGCTGCAGCAGGAAGAATATCTGCTTAGAGATGCTCCTTCGTTTCTAATGAGGGGTGCTGCCTAGAAGCACCACGCGCCAGCCAATCGCGGTGCTGCTGAGGCAGGGAACTAGGGAGGAAGGAGGAGAAGGCCAGAGGCTGGGGTAGGGGTAGCAGGGAGATGCCCAGGCCCTGGGGGAAGTGAGCAGAGTGCCTCACTGATACTAGAGACCCACCGGGGCCCCAGCTGTCTCACTGCTGCACACCTGGAGAGTGAGGATGGAGGTGGGAAGGAGGGAGGATAGGGAAGAAGAGGAGGGGCCTCCTCTGCAGGTGCATCCTTCCCAAGAAATCTCTCTCCACAAGCACCAAAGTCCCATGTCTCCAAGCCTACCTCCATATTTAACACCACCTCCTGGCTTACTTCCTACCAATCCCCCTCACCACCCCACCAACCCCCAAATCCCAAAGACCTTGCCACACGCCCAAAATCTTAGTGAAGAACAAGGCAGTGAGATGCCTAATCAACAGCCTGCATTTGGCGCATTTGATTAAACCTGCAAAGAAGCTCCTTCTACGCCCAGTTCACCCTGACACCACCACCATCAGAGACACCCCCACCAGCTCTTTGTGGAGAGCAGTTCCTTTGGAACTAGGGAGAGACAGCTTGCTTGCACACCTCTGGGCTCAGCTGATGCAGCCCTCAGCTGATGAGTTGAGGCCCAGCAGATGCACAGATCAGATGGATCCAGCAGATCAGATGGATCAAGAATTAAGAGGCAGGAGTATCCAACCCAGGACCAAGGAAAGGATGGGCCCTGCTGAACTGCTCTTCCCTGGCTGAGAAGAGAACTCCAGTTCTGAGCTGCCTGGGCTGTGTCATTAGAGATTGCCTCCCCTGGCACACTCATTCACTCCACTTTCACATAGTCCCCAGAGTTAGCTGGGTCCCCAGCCAAACCTGTTTTATTTATCATTTGTCTATTTGTCCACAGGGTTTTGGCCCAGACTTTTGAAGCTTCTGAACTGATAAATCCCCTCATGGAGCTTCAACTTACATATAGGGAGATGGTGCAGGTGTCTCCCTAGCTGGTGGGGCTGGGGGCAGAGAGGGTGGCTTCAGAGAGGAAAAAGGGAGATTGAGTATGAAAGAAGCCTGAAATTAGGGGCAACCCATTCTATGTGAAGGGCCTGGGGGGGTCCTGGGAATGAGACAAAGCCCAGCCAAGGAAGGGGCAGACACCGCAACACCATGCACCCAGGGACGCTAGAGATTTCCACATAGGAAAAATCAAAAACCAAAGTCTTACCTTGAAAAACACTAGTGCTCACACTGGTCTCTAAGGCACCAAGCTTGCCCCTTAGATGTCCCGAAGTAAAGAGTGCACTTCAGCAAAGGGGCAAATTGGCACCAGGAAGGGGATGGGGGATAAATTCCATGCTAGGTTTCCCCCCTCACCCGAAGAAATGCAAAAGGAGAGAAGGGAGTTATGGTGGGCAAGAAAGGATATGGCCAATCGATGAGCTTCTTGGCGTATTTCCTGACAATGTTATCTTCTCCGAAGATGAACAGGGATCTGTTGACGGTGAAACAGTTCTGCCGGACGGGAATGGGGTTGTACAAAGCCATAGTCCGCGCCCTCTGCGCTTTCGATTGCTTGTAGGCGGCCGCCGGCCCCGAGGCAGGGACGGGGGTTCCTTGCCGGTTCCTGCTCTGGTCCGAGTCTCCGTCGCCCGACCCCGGCCTGCCGACCACCGCCTCCCCGAAGCGAGCCATCCTGAAGTTTAAACAGACAAGACACACAAAGGTGATCGCGGCCGAACACCGCACACAGCAACAAGCAGAAAGACACACGGAGACTCAGAGCAGCATCCAGACGGGCACGGGGACCACCGCCTCCGGGGAGCCCCGCGAGCTCTTCGGAGAGGCGGCAGCAGCAACCCCGCCACTCTGAACTGTTGAATCTAAATACAACCTCTGCGAAGCTCCATTCCTCAAGGAGGAAAAAAAGGGGGGGGGGAAGGGCTTGGGGATGCTCAGTTTCTGGAGGCAATTTTTTTTTTTTTTTTCAAAATGCCAGTGTGTGGTGGCGTTCAGGGACTGGAGAGGAGAGGGGTGGAGCAGGCTGCTCTTCAAACATAGCTCCTCTTCTGGCAGACGCACCACCTAGTTCTGGGAGAGAGGCAGACACCGGCCGGCTAGGTAATAGTTTCGTGATTTATTGGTGGGGGGAGGGGAAAAATGAAAACAAAAGAACTTTTTGTAAAAAAAAAAAAGAAAGAAAGAAAAGGCAACGATGGGGTTATGGTGCCATGCTTTATAACGCCAGCCCCTGCAAGTCCATTTAAGAAATTCCACAGCCAAGACTTGGGTCTTTAAATCTGCCAGTACAGACGCATCCAAAGGTTGAGAGAGAGAGAGAGGGAGGAGGGGAGCGCGGTATTGAGGTTCCTGCGTAAACCGCAACGCCCAAAATATCGAAATAAGAAGTCGATCCAACCGGAGAGGAACAAATGACTTCAAAGCTCCTGCGCTTGGGATAGAAGTTGAGCAGCATCCAGCGAGCAGCCAAGCCCAAGTGCCAGCATCCGCCCGGAGCGCTCGCCGCCGCTGCCTCCCCGGATCAGCATGCAACAGCGATCCGCGGCTGCGCCGAGGAGAGGGCGGGAGCGGGCGGGCGGCGGGCGAGCACTTGGGCGAGGGAGGAACAGGTTGCAGCCGAGCCTAGCGGTGGCCTGACATTGAGTTGGCCAAGGACCGAACTTCCTCACTAACGACTCGGTCTTTCTTTTCCACCCTGACAGCCCCCCTCGGTGGAGCAGAGATATCTGGAAGGCGAGGAGGGGGAGAGCGCGCGGAGCGCAGAGGCGCAGCGAGGCGCGCACTGGAGCGCCAAGAGAAGCGGGGGCGGGGCCGGCGAGGACGCGAGGGGCGGGGATGGAGCCGGAAAGACCCTGGCCAACCCGGCTGGAGGTTCCTGGGATGCTGGTTTGGTTTACTGTTTTATTGAGCCAGAGGGTAGTAGGCCACCTCTGCAAAGGTCCAAGGAAGAGTCGCCTTTCCCCAAGTAATTCCGAGAGGAAAGAGGCGGGCGCAGCTGGCGGCGCGGCGGAGTCTCCGCAAGAGAGCCGAGGCCCGGCGGGGGCGCACACGCACGCGCGCACGCACTCGCGCCTTCCGTCCACGCCGAAGAGGCGCCCGCCACTGCTGTGTCCCGCGAGGTGCCCGGCGCGGGGCCAGGCCCGCGGTCGCCCTCGCGGGGAGTCGAAGCCTTTGCGCGCTGCGGGCTACAAGCTGCGCACCGGAGCCCCCTCGCCACCTCTCCCCATCTTACAGTCTCGAACGCTGCCCAGTGATTTCCGCGGAGAAGGCTGCACCCTCTCCCTATCTCCCCACTTAGCAGCCTGGAGGTCCCGTGAGGGACGCTAGGACCTCTGAGGACTCCGCACTCTGGTGTTGGTGCTAACTCCCACCGGGAGCTTCCGCCCTCGCCTTCCAAACGGGGCAATGTGGGGCGGGCTTTTGGGTTCAGCTCTAGCAGAGCCCTGTGCGTCCATCCCTGGAAGGGTGGTCCAGATATTGCGGCCCTAGATGGTGAGTTCTGGGCTAAAACCACCCTTCTCAAAATTTTAACCATCGGGGATCCTCCCCCTCCCATCTTTTGCCCTCAAGTCAGCTCCACTGACTTCCTCAAGGCCACCCCATTAATGACGAAAAAAACAGAATTAGTATCTGAGCTGCAGAAGTGGGAAAGGTGGACTCCAGGCCCCAGAGAAGGAGTCCCTAGGTTTAGCGACCAAGCACTTCCCCACAGGCGACTCTGGTTTAACCTGAGGTCAGGTACCAGTTGCCCCTTCCATGTCCACACTAGCTGGAGCACACCTTCCTCTGCTTTTCCCTGCCTTGGCCTCAACACATAGTCCTGTCCAAACCTTCCCCACCTGAGCAATGGAAGAGAAGGGCGGGAGAAAGGGGCTGAGGAAGAAAACAGAGACTGACCAAAGCCCAGAGGCTGGAAGTCATGGGTGAGTGTGGCTTCCTGAGCGTGAAAGGCAGTAGCTCTGTCTGTGAGATTAACTGGTGAGAAGAGAGATGACATCTGAGTGAGAGGCTTGTGTGTTCCTACGCGGATGTGTCTGTGTGGGCAAGGCCATGTGAGCACTGGCAGGGGTCTATTGTGTGAAAATGTATGCAAGTATATGTGTATGTGTGAAGGAAATTCTCTGGGTACTGGAGATCCACAGGAATGGTCTCATCGTGTCCACCCCCAGGAGGCACTGCTGCCCTTGGGGACAGCGTGCTGACCTTTTGATTCAGGGGAGCTGGTTTCAGGCCAAATTACTATTCAGGGTGAGTCAGCTCTAATTAGTATTTTGATCTCACCTCACTGCCACACTCTGTCCTTCTACCTACCTTAACTGGAGGGTCCTTTTCTGTCTGAATACCTAGGCAGAAAGGAGAGGAAGGGAAGGTGGTGCTCTGAACCGTGCCGTCCCATCAGCCTGTTAGTCATTTAGAATCAGTCACAAATGGCTGTCTCACTAACACTATAAACTACATAGGATTAGAAAGGGCTCTCAGAAATGATCAAATCCACATTTTCAGGCAGGACCATACTCCATAGCACAAAATTCATTCAAATCATTCATTTGACAAATATTTTTGTGCACTAGGCACACTAGTGCCTCCCCTCTGTCAGGGAGGTATCAAATGGGAATATTTGGAGGGTGCAGCCCAAGGGGACAGAAACAAACATGATGGCATAAATGGTTTGGGGAATGGACTTGGCCTAAGGGCAGTAATGCTGGGAGGAAGGCACACGCTCATATTCCACCCCCCACCTGGCTGTCACAGCTCTTGAGACTGCTGAGATCTCTGAACCTCTTTCATGCTCTCCAATGCCCCCATTCTCTCGGCCCCCAGAGGGCTACAGTTTTAATGGTTGAATCATATCTTATGGGTATTTAATAGTTTTCAGTTTATATAAACCTCACTCCAAACCTCAGAGGTCAGCCTGGCACCACATGTATTATGACCCTGATTTGGTGGACAAATCAGTAGAGTTTCAGAAACGTTAAGTAGTTTGCCCACATCTGATAAGAGGGAGATTCTGGACTTCTAAAAGATCTTCCAACTTCCACTTCATGGCTCTTTCTAAGATCCAGGCTAGTCTCTTCAGGGCAGTAATAGTGTAATTCCAAATTGTTCATTGTCAAGAGAAAAAACTATACGATCACGCCAAACCTATGGAAATGCTGTGCTTACCATCCTCAAATTGAATGTGAGCACTGGGCAAATGCTCCTGGGATCCTGCTGGGAAGGTGCCTAACTGGGAACACGTCTACTGCCCTCAACACCCAGGGGGATCCTGAGAAAACCCCAAGATCAGGTCAATACCATAATGCTCTTCGTAAGGGAATTTGGTGGGCATTCTCCTTGTGGTGTCCCTAGTTCCACTGTCCTATGAAAGACCCACAAGTGGAAATGTACAAAATCAGCAATTCGTCGTAACTCTGATTGGAAGCCGGTTTCCAAAAATCCGTTTCCAGCCCAGGAGGGACAGTAGCGGTATTTTCCTGTTGTCAGAGCACCATCTACTGGTCACTTGTGAGCACATCGCTGTGAGCACAGGTCCTTGGCAGCCCAGCACCCCAGGCACCACACCTCAGCGCCTAGACATTCCTAAAGAGGTGACCTCTTGTCACCAGCCCTCTACTTCCTGATGGGACTTTGTTGAGGTCGAAGCCCCAGATTTCACCACAATGCAGCCGGCCCATCTTACAGTACTTGGAAAGGGCAGCCCCACACACTGGCCACAAGGTCAACACACACACACAAGTTAAGATGGTGGAGCCAAAGGCTCTACGTGTTTTTGCAAGCAGTGACCTGCAAAGTAGAAACCCAAAAGGATTTGAGGAAGCAAGTGAAAAACTTTCCTAGATTATTAATCCTATGCAGACAGTTCAATTTCAAAGCATTCACCCTGTGGCCCCTCTACTTTAGTGTACCATCCAAAGTACAAGCAGGAAAGGAGGCGACTGGTACGAGGTCCCTCCAGCTTCCTCTGGAAAAGGAAGGAAATCAGGTGGCCACGCTCCCCTGGACCTGGCAGGCCATGCGAGTTTGTACTAAGAAGGATATACGTGAGTGGTAAAGTTGGAGAAGCACTTTGCCCACTTCTCCCATTCACAAAGCTCTTCCCAGATCCATCAGGCCCTGGGCCATCTTCATATGAGATTTTAGCCCATCACTGAGGAGTCTGCAAATCTAGCCTCATCCAAAAGGCATGTGCCCCTCCCACCATCCCGGCTTCCTCATCTCCCCCTACTATGCCTGTTACACTCAGATAGTTTAGGCATAAGCTATCAGAGACCTTTTTGTTCTATTTTTCCCCTGTTGAGCTTTTCTAAGAAATAGACTCTTATGCAAAGCATTGCTCTAAGGAACATAAATGCAGAGAGGGTTGGGAGTGAGTTCTCAAGAAAAAAGTTGGCAGGAGACTGTGTGCACATTCATAGCAGAGCAGTGGAGCGTTATGGCAATGCAGACATCTTGGGAGGCTGGTGGCTTCCACAATACCTTACAGCCCTGACTTGGGTGAAAACATAACTTCACATCTTTATATAATGTCCGTCCCTAGAACCAGCATGTCTCAAACCTATGCCTGAGAAACCCCCCAGCTCCAACACTCTATCAGCCAAGTATGATGTGCAAATTTTGCTAAAAAATGGTTTTTAAAACCATTCATTTATGACAACTCAATATTTCCTAGGTGCCAACCCTGGGAATCGTATCTCACTGCATCTTCACTGCAGGACTGTGAGGCACATTCTGTTATCTGAGGCCTGGAGGGTCAGGGGCTTGTCCAAGTGCACAGAGCTAGGAAATAGCAGAGCTGGATAATAAGATCAGGATTCTTTCCAATGTGTGGCCACTATTAACATGCTGCAAGTCAAAATAATGTTTTCCTCGCTGAAGAGTCTGGTCATAGGCATATCTTGGACCTTGGAGAGGTAAGGCGTGACCTCTCCCAGAGAGTCTCCCAGAGGGTGAAATTTCTAAGAATGCATACCACCTGTCCCATAGGGCTGTTAGGAAGATTAAGTTAGTTGATACGTGTCAAGCTCTTAGAGCAGTCCCTGGCACACAATAAGCACTACATAAGTGCTTGTTAAATAATACATTTCAGCTATGGTAGCTGTGACCACAGCAACACCCAGCAAACACCACACATCTGGCAGCTTTCCGTTTCTGAAAGCAGACTTCAGAAGTGCGGCCCAGGGATGGCTTGTTGTGTATGGGGTGGACGGAGGAGCCGAGAAGTGTAAGTGCCTGAGACTTGATCAGAAAGACAAATGGGGGACAAGAGAAAAGAAAGAAAAATATTAGAGACCAGAATCTGAGGAGCCCAAGGCCTTGGTACCTGGGAGAGACATGTATTTGTTTACTTATTCATTAATTCATAAGCCTATTTAATGAATACTCATTAAACCCTGTTAACGTGCCAGGCATTGTTCCGGGATTCTGAGGCTCAAGGACAGCACAGCTTCTGAGAGCTTCCAGTTTAAGAGAGGAGAAGGGAAAAACATACCCATAAAGGGCTCAATACAGGCAGAATGTAGTGTGCACCATAAGAGAGCACTGGGGGAGAGCCAAGAAGGGAGGCAGCCAGGAAAAGGGAGGAATCAGTGAGATCCCTTTGAAAGAGAAGGCGCTGGAGGTATGGAGAAGCAGTGTGGACCAGCAGGATGGAACATGAGTGCCTGGGCCGTGGAGAGGAGGCAAGATGCAGGGGCTGGATTAACCAGTTAGCATTTTTATTTTCTTTCAGTGTATCTAGGATCACGAAGATTCTAGTATTACCACTTCAATCCTTTCT